TTTCACATTACAAGTTCTTTGAGTCTTCTACTTTCAGAATCTTTTAGACAATTTTGTTCTTTCTAGCAACTTGAAGGTACAATTTCATGTGCTGCTATTCCAGTGGCTGAAAATTTGGAGTACAAGCGTCAAACACTCAAATACTGTTGACGGTGTTACTGCATCCTGTCAATCAGAACAGCGTTGACCATGATATATATGTAACCTAATCTATTCTTTTCTTCCACTGCTGATCTAGATGAAAGAATTCAATGCAATTGGAATAACTTAATTGCTAATAATAATTTGAGATGTATCGCTCTAATAGTTCTATGACAAAAATCATTATTTGATCTTTTTTGTCATTGAAACGGTCAGTTTGAGTGGCTAGTGAAAATGCATCTTAATTTTTATTTTGTTCACGTAGCATGGAACATTCTAGCAACATTGCTAGAATGTTCTATGCTATAGAATGATCTGCATTCAGCAATGTTGAAATATTCTATCCTACTTATTTAGATATTTTTTATATCTTTTTATATATAAATTAAAAGTTTTTTAACATTAGCAAAAGAACATCTCTATAAAGCTTTGTTTTGTGTGCCAGTACTGAAAATTTATAATATACATAACATAAACAAAACATAAACCAAAAATTTTCAATACTGATAGTATATATCAGAACATGGCCTGATTAAACTAATTATTAATAAATAATAAAAATAACTCTAAACAGATTTTGTTAAACAATTCTTATTGAGTGCAATAATAAATTAAAGAGAAAGCAGGTAATAAAGGAGAGAAGGGAAAGAGAATAAATAAATCAAGATAACAAAGAGATGAGAATCAGACAAAAGGGGAAAAGAAATAAACGAAATATTCTAAGATTACTAGATAGAGTACATAGAGTACTGATAGAGTACATAGAGTAACTAAAGATTACTAAATAAAAATTAACAATTACTTTTAGAGCAGATTTTAGAGGTTCCATGTCCAATAAAAAACAGCAAACTACGAAATAATTGGAACAGTTATCATCAATAAATCGGCATCTGTCAAGATTCATATACATAAAAAAATCGCGAAAGGCTTGCGCTGACTTTCCTTACCTTCCTCCTCGTCGTCGCTCTCCTCCACCGCCTTCAACTTCCTCAATTTTTTCTTCTCATTCTGGTCCAATTCCTCCTCACCCTGTAATACAGCCGCACACGTTATTAGCACCAAATGTCGTTGCAGTGCTTTGTCGTATAAGATTTTTGCGTAGGACTTTCCGTGGCGAGAAAATGGAAAGAAAAGACTTTACCTCGCTCACATCCGCTTCAGAGTCGAGATACTCTGCCATGCTTCAGAGTAACGACCTAATCTCGTCCAAAATTTTGTATGCGTTACTTTGTCTGAGACTCGTACCGTTTTAAAGAATCAGCAACACGACAAAATGACAAAATTCTTCAACATCTATCATCTTCCATGTTCTTTCGTGGAATGGCCGGAGTAATATCAGAAAGTAAAAGGTGAGATAGATGAATGATCATGATATAAGAATATAAGGCCTAATTTACATCGTACACTTGATACTAACTAGTAACTTTCTATTGAATGATCTTAATTTCGGCAATATATTAAAACATATACATGATATATGTATTTAATTAATCATTATGATGTACCAATTTAGTACATCATTCTTTAAATACATTGCTGAAGTTAAAATAATTTAGAAGAAATAAAAAGTTACTAGTTAATATATATCAAGTGCACGATGTAAACTAAGCCCATTTCATTGAGAGATACGCACTACGCGCAGTTGTGCATCCTGGAATGGCGAAACATGGCGACTGCTTTTTGATCAATCAAAACGTTGCCCCCATTGTAAAAATATTGTCTATTGTCTATTGAATATTGTCTATTTTTGATTCCTGGATATCAATCATAAAACTTTATTCTTAGGATGGAAAATGAAAAGTAAAAATTTTTATCATTGAAATTAATGAAGAAAATTTTCACTTTTCACTTTCCATTCTAGGGATAAAGTTTCATGATTGGCCAAGATTCCACCGAGAGTTTAATCTAGATCAGAATGTAAGAACCAATCAATTACAGTCGAACATTCCCCTGTTCGACTATAACAGGGGAATACTCGATTGTAGTTGGTTGGTTTTTATATTCTGATCCTGATTAAATCCTCAGTGGAAATTAGGCCATTGATACCCTGCACTAGACTGCACTAGAACTTCGTTTCGCTTTTACCAAATATTAAACATATACCGCTTTTACCAAATATTAAACATATACCATATCTTTAAGTTTTAAAAGTTCAGCTACAAAAAACAAATCCCCCCCCCCTACTATGTGTTCCAAAATTCACTGCCAATGCTGAAAATGTATAGTATACATAACATAGGTCGGTATTCATAGTCGATTCTTATCTCAAGACCATCTTAAGTAATATTGGATATGGGAAAAAGTTCGTGCCGATTTTTTTAGTAAAATTAAAGTGTTTTTCTTAGAGTATTGAAATCAATTATTTATTTAAACCAAATGTGCTCCATTATTTTCTATAATATTTTGCCATTTTTGGGGCAGAGCCATAATTCCATCGCGATAGAACTTCTGTGGTTTCTGATCAAAAAACTGCTTCAAGTGATTTTCACAGGCCTCTTTTGAAGCTAGCTTTACACCATTAAGAGAGTTCTGCAGAGACCTAAACAAATGATAGTCTGAGGGTGCTATGTCAGGACTATACAGAGGATGCATTAAAACTTCCCAGCCAAACTCTTGCAATTTTTGCCGAGTCATCAAAAATGTATGTGGTCGAGCGTTGTCGTGATGGAAGACGACATCTCTCCTATTGATTAATTCTGGCCGCTTCCTCTCAATTGCTTGTTGTAATCTCTGCAGTTGTTCACAGTAGAGTTCGGAATTAACTGTTTGATTGGACGATACAGCTCATAGTGAATGATTCCCTTCCAGTCCCACCACACACACATCACTTTCTTCCTCGTCAATCTAGGTTTTGTGATTGCTTGCACCTTCTCTCCTTTCTTTATCCACGATCTTTTTCTAGTTGGATTGTCGTAGGTGATCCATTTTTCATCACCAGTTATCATTCTCTTCAGAAATAGCTCAATTTCATTCCGTTTTAGTAGTGTATCACAAATGTTAATTCGGTCCATCATGTTCCTAACACTCAACTCGTGAGGAAGCCAAACATCGAGCTTCTTTGTGTATCCAGCTTTGTGTAAATGATTTAAAACTGTTTTGTGATCAATGCCTAGTTCCCTGGCAATCTCCACAGTGCTCACATGCTTATCACATTCGACTTTTACCATGATTTCATTGGACTTTTTTTTAGTGATTGGTTGGAGCGAGGTTCATCTTTCACATCGAAATTTCCAGCACGAAAGCGAGCGAACCATTCCCGTGCTGCTGATTTTGATAGAGTATCTTCACCGTAAATAGCGCAAATTTTTTTCACAAGCCTGTGCAGCATTCTTGCCTTTATCGTAGTGATACTACAAAATGTAGCGAATTTTTTCTTTTATTTCCATTTTCAAAATAAAATAATTTTTGATCCACTTCACCAATTTCAATCTTTTTCGGCTTAAAACAAAGATTAAAATGTCACTTTTTAAACGCACGTTGCCGATGCGATTAATAATTGCCGACTGTTGAGCATTTAATGCTATCTAGCGGGAAAAACGCCACGAACTTTTTCCCATCCCAATATCTTAAGTCTAATGCGGCCCTCTGGCTCGTGAGTTAAGACATGATCTCAAGACTGAACTTAATAATCTTTAATATAGGAATTTATTATGGGTACTGTCAAAGAGATGATGCTTGGAAGCGTTTTTTAACTGGTCAGTTTGTAAAATTCTTTCTTCTAATTAATCCATTAAATGCTTCAAAGCATCTGTAAGCGAGACTTTGACCACATCCTATGAATACCGGTCATAGACTGTTGATTTTCAGCTTGGCAATAAATTTTGGAACACAGCCCATGTGCACTAACTTTGAGGCAAGTATTTGATTGGTTCTAATTTAGTTTTGATTGGTCAAGAGACTCAAACGCGAACACAGATCTTCAATCTAGTGTAATACAAGCATAAGGCTAGTGTTTCATGAACAGAAATTTATAACGGAATGGAATATCGAGGTCAATTATAATCATAGAAAAGAAAGCAAAATAATGCAGAGTTGTGATTAGTAGCGCTGTTTCGTTCCACTGTAAATTTCCGATTCATGGAAGCTTATAGGGCCTGTGCACAATAGAACAAATATTAGAAACAGGAATATGTATTAAGATTTCAATCTATCACATACCAGTTACATCGGAATACGCGATTTCTAATAATAAGTTAAAATATTAATAGCCGTGTTTCAAAATTGACTGCCAGTACTAAAAATCTATAGAACACGTAAAGGCTTAAATACAATAGGCAACATAGGGAATAGGAAATAATAAACTGTCCAATCAGAGCTCTGTAATATAAATCGAATTTACACCAGAGTTCTGATTAGACAGCTTACTATTGTGTTTAAGCCTTAACATAAATTGTAGAATTTTCTGGCAATAAATTTGAAACACGGCCATTATTTATTCCTATTCCTAATATTTCCTCCATTGTACATGGGATCTAAAATACACAATGAGTATTAATTTGTTTGCGTCGCATGCTCCAACATGTTTCAATATGTTCTATCATAGCTCCTACTCACTCCAATGCGGTCATTAGAGTGAGAACTATGGCAAACAAAACTGGAAATGGAATGGAAGTCGTTTACACATAACTGGTAACAGATTCAGAAATTTCAGAGTGCCAGAGAGAAGCAAAAAAAAACAGAAAATATCGTTTTATCGTTGGAGAGAAGCTTGAAAAAAAAAGAAACTAATTTATAAAACGGAAAGAAATACAATCTTCCTCCGACTTTGTTAAATGGATAGTTAACGAGAAATTTTATTCTTTATTCTCACAAACATGATATAATTATTTCTTCTTATAGAAAAAAATAAAGATACCGATATGTCTATTCTGTTGACAGAAAATAACTTCGAATGTCGGTTAGTTTTATCTGTTTTATGTTTGCAATAAAATGAAGTAAATAATAGAAATGGTTATGAAAAAGAACTTTGCTTAAAAAATTGTTATATTCTCTCATATAATACATTGAAATATGTCGAAAAAGAAATGCTTTAATAATGATTTGATATTTTATTTAGGGTGAGTTCTGTGCTAAATAAGAACATTCAATCTTATGGAAAAATGTATATGTTTGATAATTGTAGTGAAACATGTTGGAATTCTGATGCAGTAAGTAATCAAATTTTATTATGAATCAGTTCTTCAAATGTTTGACTATATATTTTACTATGGCAAATATAATCTAATATATAATATATATAATAGGGAAGTCCACAGTGGGTTCTTATTAAGTTTGAAGAAGAATGCAGTCTCTCCAGTTTTGAGGTGGAATTCCAAGGTGGATTTGCTGGAAAAAATTGTCATATAGAGGCTGGTAATGATAAAAAGAAGTTAATAATTGTTGAATCTTTTTCTCCCGAAGATAAGAACAAGCTACAGCGATTTAATTTAAAAAATCAGGTCAGAGCCAAAGTTTTTAAATTTGTATTTAATGAAAGCACTGATTTCTTTGGCAGGATCATTATATACAATTTATCATTGTACTCGTGACATCCATTTTAATGTCTTAATTATACTGTACATTAATTTTAATTACTTAATTATTCTGTACATTACAAAACAAGTGTTTATATAAATACAATCTTTGTAAAACAATATTTATTTTAATAAAATTTATATTATAATTTATTATTGTTTGTAAATTAGAACTTTTTGTAAATGTATATCTAATTCGTTCAATCATACAAAGATTTGTTAGACTACACAAAGATGGTTTTGCAACACATTTTTTTAAATTAAAATAATTTATTTTACATAAAATGATTTATTCTACTTAAAATAGTTTATATTATATTATAAAATGATTTATTCTATTCGTAATGTAATTAAGTACAATATTATTATTATGAATTCTAGATGTTAAATGCTTGATAAAAATGATTATTTCAACGTTAAGAGAAACTTAGACGATTTTTTTTCTTTGAGCCTCGCTTTGGATTGGTTGAGCACTAGGTGGTCGAACTGAAAAAAAAAAAACACAAATATTTTGATACTATTTGCTTCCATCTACTATTCTTATATTTTATTAGTCTTACTTGCACAGGATAGAGGTTGAAATTTTATATCGTCAACAGCGAAGCCTCCGTTACTGGCGCTTCCCTCAAGAATAAGTCGATATGGAGTTCGCGCTTCAATTGCCACTTGTGCTGCCATCCATACTGGTCGTGGATTATTTAATCCTTTGGCTGTCAATGACCATAACTACAATAATGAAATTAAAGATTAGAAAAAAATGAACCAAAATAAACCACATCTTTGTTCCAAAAAATGCTCGTTCATGTATTTAATATTAAAATGAAAATTAAAATTTGTTTTATACCAGTTCAAAAGAATATACAATAAGTGATATTTTAAATATTATATTAAATATTATATTTTATGTAACATTCATACCGGTTGCTCCTGTTCGCCTTCATTCTCTCTCTCAGTCTCTTCGGTAGGCATTTTGATTACTCGTAGAGTGGTGGACTCCTCCACGCCAAAAGCGGCGAACCAAAAAGTGAAACATATAAACTCTTCATCGGGTGAAGCATTAATGATAGGTGATTGTAATTGAACCTTTGTTGATTCCTTGTTTGTTGTAAAGATGTCAAAGAATACAAAATCGCCAGGCGTACCAAAAGTTCTGTCCAATAATTGAGCCGGTCGATGGGTCTGAAACGCACGCTGCCACATTACAGCACGATCATTATCGGAAATAGTTATGTTCTCCCATCCGCATAAATCCTTCTCAAAGCTACAATCTTCTGGGCGAACGACTGCACCCGTTGGTTTCACTGTATATAAATGTAAAACATAAATTTAATGTATAAAATTAGGTAAGAGAAAATAGTACTATACTCCAAAAGGAATAAATATTTATTTATTTCAGAAGAAAGAAATGAGAAAAAGGGGAAAATATTACCACTGCAATTTCCGGTGTAAAAGGAGATATCATCAATTCCTATGCTACCAGTAGCTCTGTTCGGACCCCAAGTGCCCTCAAATACAATATTAAAGTCTGTGTTTTGATTGATATTAGCTTGAGCATAGTTCCATGTGGGACCTTGATTATTGTACAATTGCCATATAGGTTTAGCTTTCGAACTATCACCCTCTGCTTGCATGTATAATCGCAAAACTCCTATAAAATTAAAAACACTCATTGTATCAGTAAATTGCATTCATTTTAAAAGGAATCAGACTAACAACAATCAATTCTATTGAACTGAATTTTTAGATTCTCTATTTTTTTTTAAGATAATATCATTTGGTATCAATTAAAATTAAGAAATTTTGTAATAAAATCATTAAATAAAGAAACATGAAATTTAAATCATAAAAAAATTACAAAATTAATTATTCATTTCAAAGATAAAATATTCGATCAAACTAATAATTTTTTTTTAAACTCTACCTAAACTAGGTCCTGTGGAATCAATGAAGGGCTCGAACATAAAGTACCAAAATGTAATGCAGAGCGGTTCTTCGGAAGCCTTCATCTGTCGACTGACTAGCTGAGCAGTACCACCTCCAGATGATCGCGGACCACCTCGAAGACGTCCAAGGCCCAAAAAATATTCGTTGCGTCGATTAACTGTGTGTCCACTGCTGTACGGTTTCCTTTGATTCCTCGGCCCTAACACTTGAGTAGATACCCTTTCCCATTCGACACGATCTGGATCTCGCGAGTTGATCCATTCACATTCATCAATCTCAAAGGTGCAATCCCGCGATATCGGAGCAGCCACTTGAGGTGAAACTATCAAATCAATACAAAGGGATTAGAAATTAATTTATGAAGTCAAATACTGATCGATATAATAAAACAGGAGATAAAGTATTAGTTTAATGTGAAAATACGATACATACTATTTACTCTTTCAAAGCATCCCAGATTCGATTCCGAGATTTATCTCATATGTTAACTTTTCAAATTTTATTAAAGCACTGTTTTTTTTTGTCAAATTATAAGTAAAAAAACAAAGGAGATAACATTATGACATAATTTATGCCTATTAACTGCCGAGAGTCGAGGTATTTGCAAGCATAGGCAAATGTCTCGTCAGTCAGCAAATCTATTCTTAAATCTATTCTGTCATAGTATTAGCTTTCTTATTTTCTTCCTTAATGCGATAAGAAAACAATTTCAAGCAGAAAATTTGAGTCAGTATATGGGATAGACTTCAGAATCGAATCCAAAATCGAGAAATTAAATCAGCCATTTTAATATTAAGCTAACACTTTTAAAGCAGGCTCAGATCTTAAGATGTGTTTGAAGAGAAATATGATGAGACGCCTTATATACAATATCGTTCAATTTGGAAACACTTGTGATTTTCTTGCTTTTTACATACATTAAGGTATCTTGGTGAAAATAATCGTAGAGAAATTTTTGCATTTTAAAAAGAAAATAGAAGTTTTTTTAAAGTAACAAATTTTGTCTATACGAAATTTAGTTCCTGAATTACATTAAAATTTCTGATGAGGTCCGCATTCTTCGCGGCTCTGTTGGGCTATAAACTGGGCGTGTTTCCAGGTGGCGGATCGGAGAACGTCCGGAGGAAGTATCAGTCTCCTGTGAAATCCTGCATGAGACTAAGAGTTCCTTCGAACAGTAGCTATAAATCGGTCCCTCAGATATAAAATCTTGCCGCTGCCTTCTCCCCATCAAGGGGGAGCTATCGAGATGAAAGCTGCATGGTATTGAGGGAGTGTCGCTATCAATGGCTCTAGGGAAAAATCGGGTGAAATCCCAGAGTATTTACCTTACCCTCGCATATAGGATTCTGCGTGAGCAGCGTGAATGGATCGTTTAGTTCCTTAGATACTCATGAAATCAAAATGGATCTTAGTCGAACATTAAATGAAGTTAGCATGGAGGTCGAGAACTCGAACAGCGGGACCTTGGAGACTGAAGCTGGAATGGACTGAGGTTACGGCCGAAGAAGCTCATTTGGGCTTTAGAGGCATGGCGGTCTTTGAGTTAGGATCAGCTGTCACTGAGGACTGTCGTTTGTCCTTAAGAAGAATTGCAATGGGGCGGAAAAAAGAGTCGGGAGCGAGAGAGAGGTGTAAAGGAGCTTTTACTTCTATGGATTCTCCTCGCACACCAATTAGGTTGCTTGAGGAATACATCGACGTAAACGTCGGAAGGGCTCCAATGAAACCCTTCCTTCAAAGGACTTCCTTCCTAGAAAGACTTATTGTTAATAAGAGGAGCAATAGGGCCCAATGGGGCCTATGTGGACGCCAATTTAAAGTTATTTTATTAAAGTTTTATTTTTTCTTCTTTAAAATGCATTTTTAAAAACTTCAACATTTTTTTTTTATCGAGATATTTAAGTTTTTGGAAAAAACAAGAAAAAACCGTAAGTGTTCCCGAATTTATAAACGATATTATATTTTCAACTTATTAGCAAGAGAATCTTAATTTACAATTAACGTTTATAAGAACAATTTACGCGAGCAAATATTGAAAATCTAGTTTCTTGTTTTAATGTAAATTTTAAATAACACTTAGAACCTACCAGGGCAAGCACCTGGGCCATATGAAATATCATCGATTGCGATGTCCCCCATGCCAGTAATTCCTACTGATGCTTCGAAAACTAGCTGATAATCATCGAGGGAGCTGATTGTAACTTGTGACATAAACCAAGCATTGCCCGCGTTTCCGGACAGACCCCAAATCTCTTGTAGCTGTGTATCTGAACTGCGAAAATGACGTAGAAATAACTTTAGGTAACCGATTCCAGTTCCAAACATGTGGAACCAGAAATGCATGCACATTGGTGCATCCAGCATTGTTGCCGGGAAGCTCGAACTTATGAGTTTCGCCGTGTCACCAGGTCTTCGTGGGAATCCGGAATCGATAAAAGCGTAACCACCGGCTGTGGCACGGTCGCTGGAACTATCCATCGCTGGACCGGTTGTGGGATTTGCGCTTCCGCGACTCTAAAAATATACATTCTCAAACTATCAACATATAAGCGCAGAATAATAAAGTTACATAAAACTTGGTAGCGCACTCACTATAGTCCAATCGAAATCATCTTCCGCATCATTGTTCCAGTCACAGAAGCCAGCGGCAAAGTTACAGAATCCAACGCACGACGTACCAGGCTGCAGATCTATGTCATCGATAGCGATATATCCGCGATATAGACGCGACGGATCCGTGGAGTCTACTGGCACGCCTTCAATAACTATCTAATTGGCAAAATTTTTATTATTTTCTAGAGACACTGATAATATTATGAAACACGAAGCGTTGAAAATATAAGCAATACATAGAAAACTATATATAGTTTAGAAGAAAAGTTTGGTATTCCAACATTATATATGATGACTTTGACAAACAAATAAAATAATAATATATTTGTAAATAAATTTGAAAATCTCTGTAATATTAATTTTTTCATTCGAACAATTTATATCTTCAACTTTTATCTATTGAACAATCACTATGCTATTTGAATAAACTACAAAAGCAGTTTGGAAAACATAATTTTTCCAGTATCAATAATTTTAACATAAAGGTAATTTTTATTTTCTACTAATTATAGACCTTCGTGTTTACTAATTAAATTTTGACTGAATCAAGTTACAATAATGTACCGAGTGTAATAAAGGGTAAGTATAAAGTATTTGAGCCTGCTGCCATGCTCCGAGCGTATAATATTGCGCGTGCCACATTACGCGCTCGTCTATGATTTCTGGCAGATTTGCCGGTTCGCAAGATACTGTGATATTTTCTACAGGCAATTCCTCTGTTACATCTGACTGTTCCTTTTTAAATGAGAACGCGTCCGTTCCAACATGAAGCAATACTCGTAGTCCTGCGATACTGAGACCATCCATGGTGTATTTGAACATAAAACAAATGCCGGATACCCCGGTGCTGCCCAATTGCGGACTGTGTAAAAGACCTCCGGAACTCTTGAACTTCACATCCTTTGAAGGTATCTGTGATGTCTCCAGAAAGGCATATCTAATGCATTAATCTATGTTCAAGATTATCAGTAAAACATTAAATGATAAATATAACATAGCAAAATTCATAAAAACATATATGGCATGGTATATGGATAGTAGAAGAATTATATTCTATATAAGGATATATAATTTCT